GGAAAATTACAGTCATTGCAGCTACTACCTCTGTAGCACTTCCTTTAAAACCATAGCATGCAGTCCATCAGGTCCAGAGCAACTTATCAGCCTTTAGTTCCACTAGTTTTTTTAGTTCATCTTTTCTCTAGCGATATGATGTTATGAAAGAAATCATCATCAGTATGATGAAGCCACAATCAACTGCAAGGAGCCTACTTAAGCAAGCTTAATTCAGCTGCTGCTAGGAAAACTCAGCTCTAGATCTCATTCAAGTCTGCACATGGATTGGCTCGGAAGTTGCTTGGCTTTGTGAAATCCAAATTCACTTTTGGACTTCATCTCTACAATATTTTTCCCTCTGTCTACTTTAGGTTTTTGAATGGCATTGAGTGTGGGAAGAGTGGGAAGGACGTGTCTGATTAGAAGGTTGCCTTGGTTCTCAAAGACAGCAGACTAGCTCCTACTATTGTTCATATGCCTCTGAAAACTCATTCCTCAGTCTCTGATTCAGCATCATTCTGCCCTTCATGCCTCCTCATACTCCCATGTCCCCTCCATGTCCCTTTAAATCCCATGCAACTCAATGATATTCAAACATTCCATATCCCTTTCAAACCATACATATTCTGAAACTCCCATTTCCCATCTGTGCTGCTCATGTATCTTTCACTAGCAATCATCCAGGATTCTCTATGGGAAGATCTTGGGATGTCCTTGAAATGGATACTAACTATCCAATAAAGTTGTTATTCAAAGACATTTCAAACTGAAAAAACTATCATTTATAAAAGTCATTAAAATGTAAATTCCTCCAGTGTTCATTTAAAAAACTTATTCACTAAACACAGCACACACACGTACACTTTTAAGATTCACTTGAAACTACTAATCAAAACAGAATTCCATGCTGAAATAAATTGTTCTGTATACTTTTGAAACTCCAACAGTCATAACTGTATCAGCTATAAGTATCAATTTTTGGAAATCTAAAATCTATTACAACTGGAAAACAAATCACATGGTCCTTAAAAACTGCAGATTATGTCAAAGTTACATTTCTAAGAAGATTGCTGTCAATCAAACAATGGAAAAAAGTGCTTGAAATGATTTGATCTTTGACAGTAGGCATATTTTAAAAAGTAACGATCCCCTGACATTTCAATTTCAGACAAATGCAAGACAGATTTCATTATATATTATTCTTTAGTTTTCAATGCAATTTGTGGGAAAGTCCTCTAATGATTCACAATATTTAAACAATGTTGGTTGAAGTAATAGTCAATTTTATCTTTTGAAGGCTGACTCTATGATGAATCACTGCAGTTAAAATACATCCAAATTATAATATTGCTGTTAAGAGCACTGTGAAATGGCCCATCGAGACACTCGGTTGTATCAACCTCCTGAAAGTCTCAAAAAAGGAAAGGAACTGAATGAGCCACCAGACATTGACTAAGGCACCAGAAATGACAACGTAGATATCACCCTATCAATTCTGCAAGGTCCTCCTTACTTACATATGGGGCCTGGTGTTAAAATTGACAGTTGTCTCACAGATTAGTCACGCAATAGTCTGAGATAGTCAGGACATACAAAGCACAGATGTGGAAGAGATCTATCCAATCAGGAAGAAGTTGCCCTGAGAGTCATCAACATTGACTACAGACCCAATAAAGTTCCATGGCAGCAGGTCAAACAGGGGCATGGAAACCTTTGGCTAATTACCACATACTACCCCCTCAGCAGATGATTCAGTACTCCTCAATGTTGAACACCACTAGGAGGAAGCACAGAGAGTGGTAAAGGCAAAGAACATACTCCAGGTGGGGGACTTCAATGTTCACCTCAAAGAGTGGCTTGGCAGAATCTCTACTGATCTAGCTGGTCGAGTCCTCAAGGATATAGCTGCTAGATTGGGTTTGTGGTAGGCGATGAGGGAATCAACAAGGGGGGAAATCATACTTGGCCTCACCCTCATTAATCTATCTGCTGCAGTTGCATCTGTCCATGACAGTGTGGTATGAGCAATCACTGCACAGTCCTTGTGGAGATGAAGTCCTGCCTTCAGAGTGAAAATGCTTTACATCATGTTGTGTATCACTATTACTATTCTAAAAGGAATAGATTTCAAACAGATCTACCAACTTAAAACTGAGCATCTATGAAGCATTGTTGTGTTGGCAAACAGTAGGTACTGAATTGTCCTCCAACCCAATCTATGACCTTATAGTCTGGTACATTCCCATACTACCTTTATCAAGCCAGGGGATCAACTCTGTTCAATGAAGAATACTGGAGGGCATGCCAGGAAAAGCACCAAAAATGAGATATCATCTCGGTGATGCTACAAAATAGGACCACTTCCTTGTCAAATGTCGGAAGTAGCATTGACAGGGCTAAGCAATTACACAAGCAACAGAACAGTCCTGCCACATTTAGGCATAAATAGTGGGGGACAATTAGCAACTCTTTGGAGGAGAAGTCTCCTCAACCTGGGACCTGGGTTCAAATCCTGCCATGGTAGATGGTGGAATTTCAATTAAATAAATATCTAGAATTAAGTGTCCAATGATGGCCATGAATCCATTGTCGATTGTCAGAAAAACCATCTGGTTCACTAATGTCCTTTAGGAAAGGAAACTGCCAACCTTAACTGATCTGGCCTACATGTGACTCCAGACCCACAGCAATATGGTTGACTTATAACTGCCCTCTGGGCAATTAGGGATTGGCAATAAATGCTGGCCCAGCCCGTGACACCTTCATCCCGTGAACGAATAAAAGAACCATTCACATACTCAATAATTGGGGAACTAACATGTCAGTGTGAAAGATAAGACTGAAGCATTCTTAACAATATTCCATCAGAAGTGCCAAATGGATAATTCACCTCGGCCTCTTCCAGAGATCCCAGCATTATATATGACAGTTTTCAGCCAATTCGATTCACCCCGACTGATGTCAAGAAACAGCTGGAGGTATTAGATATTGCTTTGGCTATGAATGTAACATTCTAGCAATTGTACTGAAGACTTGCTCTCTGGAACCTGCCACACCTTTAACCCAGCTGTATCAGTACAGGCGTCTACCCAGCAATGTGGAAAAATGCCTATGTATGTTCTGTACACAAAACCCAAGAGGATAAATCCAACCCAGCCAATTACCACCCCATCAGTCAAATCTCAATTATCAGTACAGTGGTGGAAGGACTCATCAACTGCACATAGATTCTAAAGGGCATTGAAGAAAATCAAAGGCATTGAGATAACATTAGAGTTCTGTCGAGAATGTTGTTGAAAAACACCAGGGCTAGTACTATATAGTTTTATTTTGAACTCATGAAAGCTTTTCAGGACAATTATCAATAAGAGGAATTTCAATACTTTTGTCTTTTGAGTATATCAATATCAAGGCTATAAGAGTGTACAGTGTTTCTTTTGTATTACTTCCACAGAATGGATTTTTCACAAAGAAATGTTGTCAAATAAAATAGTAAGACAATGATATGGGAAAATATAACTGGACAAGACAGACTTAAAATGGGATAAGTATTATTTGAGTAAACTTCAAGGCATTCAACAAGATACCTCACAAAATGTTAATTCATAAGATAAGAGACCATGGTGTTGGAGGTAGAATTTGGCATGGATACAGAATGGGCTCATCGACTGAAAACAGTGAGTGGGGATAAGGGGTTCTTTTTCAAATTGATGACCTGTGACTGGTGAGTTTCCACAGGGATCAGTGCTAGTCCGCAACTGTTTGCAATATATGTCAATGACTTGGATGAAGGAAAAAAATGTAGTGTAGACAAATTTGCAGATGACACAAAAATAGGTGGAAAGGCAGGTTGTGAGAGGGATACAAACAGTTTACAGAGTGATATTAATAGTTTAACTAAATGGGCAAAATGTAATGTGAGAAAACATGAGGTTGTTCATTTTGGAAGAGAGAACATAAGAGCAGAATATAATTGAGATGAAAAAAGCTGAAGAAAATTGCAACTCCAAGGGACTTGTGGTACTTGTGCATGAAACACAGAAAGTTAACACACAGATGCAGCAGGTAATTAGGAAGGCTAATGGAATGTTGACCCTTATTTGAATGGGGCTGGAGTATGAGTAAAGAAGTCTGATTGCAACTGTTCAAGGTTCTGGTGAGATCACATCTGGAGGACTGTGAACAGTTTTGGTCTCCTTGTTTGAGGAAATATATCATTTCATTGGAGAAAGTCCAGAGAAAGCTCACTACGATGATCCCTACTATGGAGGGATTGTTTTATGAGCAAAGGATAAACAGATTGGGATTCTTGCTCACTGGAGTTTAGAAGAATGAGCGGTGATATCATTGAAACATATAGGATTCTGAAGGGGCTTGACAGAGTAAATGCTGAGAGAATGTTTCCCCTCATAGGAGAGTCTAGGGTTACAGATCCAATTTAAACAGATAATCAGCAGTTTATTTTCTCTGAGTGTTGCGAATCTTTGGAACTCCTTATGACAGAGTTGTGAGGGCATATTCCTTGTGTATATTTAACACTGAGATTGACTCTTGGTCAGTAGGGGAATCAAGGTTTACAAGAAATGGCAGGAAAATGGATGTGAGGAATATCGGTCAGCCCTGATCCTGTTGAATGGCAGAGCTAGCTTGAGTGTCCAAAGAGCATAATCATGTTCCTATTTCGTATGGCTTATGGCCTGCACATGCATATAAGAAATTTAGGTTTTTTTCCCCTAATCATTGGTTGAACACAATGTTATTGCTTCCATTTTATTTCACAAAATGATACTAGCGAAAAGAACCAAGAACCATACAAATTGATGAAGTAGTTGTTGCATCCACCAGGTTTTCCTGCTGGAGAGCTGCATTGCCCTTTTAATTGTGTGTGAGTGAGTGAGTGAGAGAGAAAGAGAGAGAGAGAGTGTTCATGTGGGGGGTGGGGGGACCCAGTATGTGAGCCGCATGCGCGCTGCCCATTGCAGGCGTTGAGCGGTTCTCACCAGGACCCAGATGCGGCGGCAGTAGGTTCGTTTCCTCCGCCAGCATCTTCAGGAAAGATGAAGATGCCGGGGGGAAAAGCATCCTCAGCGATCAAGTGTCGGGGGTTTAACCGTCTTTAAATCTTCACCAGACCATTGAAGCAGTAAGTGCACCAGGTAAAAGAAAACAAAAACATTCGTCTGTTGCCTGTTAGAACACATCACAATGGCTGCAACCATCTGCGCCAAGGCTGAAAGAATTAATAAAACCAAATCCCACCATTGCGACTGTTTCCGAAAGCATGGAAAGGTAGCATTTAGGGAGAAAGGTAGAAGCGATATGACGCCGAGAAGCTGAATATAGCTTCAATTCGCTGTGCACAGTGAAAGCAAAAGGCAGATCGTGATCAACGCTGGTGTTCTAGGCTGGTACTTAAACGTGGTCCAGAATTTGAACTGCACAGTTCGGATTTCAGGTTAGCAGCAGAATACCTTAACTGTTAGACATATATTCAGTGATTTATTAGCTTCTGTATTTCACTAACTTTGAAGCTTGTTAAAAACTATTTGTATCCTGCTTTGTACGCAGCCTGTGGCTGTAACGGTTTGAATGAAGATGTTTTAGCATTTGTTTCTTAATGTAAGTTGGTGGAGTGGGCGGAATGATGTGATAGTACATTTATGTTGATTTGTTCAAATTTTCCTCGTTGTAATCATGCATTCTGGTGGATACCATCTGAACTTGTGTTAAGATTCATAGTTAGTCTAAATTAATTTAGGAAATGTTGGGGTGACATAACATGATGTGCTACAAAGGTTGCCATTGGGTTGGTTTTGATCCAGTCTGTTTCATTTTTGCATGTTGTTTCTGGGATTTGCTAAGGTTAATAATGAACATCAGAAATCTAATTCTTAAAATTGTGCATTCTGTGGCTGAGTGAATAAATTAATTCTTGCCTACTATTGCATCTTCTGACATGGAGAAATTAGAAATTAAGGTTTTAATTTGTCTTCAGTTGGTAGGAAACCAAACCATCAGTGTTGGAGTTGTGCTCCATACTTTGCATATGTCCTTTTTTTTTCCTGCACCTATTTTGGCTTGGCAAAAGATGGTCATGTTATGCAGTACCCATGGTATACAGAGGAGTGAGACATGGCAACCTCTCCCCTAACCCCGATGAAAGAAATAGTTCAAAGTTTTTGTATCTGAACCTTGTTCACTTGATAACTGAAATACACTGAGCAAAAAGTGAATACATATAATGTAAAATAGTGCAGCACTGAATTTTTTAATATTAAATACAGTTAAATATTTTTGGCAGAAAATTCATTGCTTAATGAATTGTATTGCTTTTTAATGCAGTGTTTGTATTCCCTAGTCTTCTAAAGGCTTGTTTCACAGAAAATATTTTAAATTTTCCTTGACTTTTTATACTTTTGGGGTAAGTGCACCTTCATTTTTATTTTCTTATCCTTTACCGTCACACTGATCGAGGTGCAGTGACTTATGGTAGTAGACTTATTGGTGCAATCTCCATGCCTGCTGTCATGGAAACTAGGTCAGGCTGCTGAGTGGCAAGAAACAGAGCTGCAACTATACATATTGACACTGGCCTAAAATCATAGACTTGCTGAGTTATCAGTTGTTTTTCACATTTTTGCTTATACAGTTATATAATATTTTGTGTACATATATATATATACATGTAATACTTTGGATTTGGAGACTGAGCAGAATAGAGCTACTGTTACAGTGATTCTTTAGCTCCTTGTGTAGTAATAATCTTCATTGGAATCAGGGATCACAGCCCTCTCAAATTGGAAAACAATGTATAATTGTCAGTGAATTGCAAAGCAATAAACCAGTAGGAGGGCTCAGATGTTACAAGTTATAGATTGTAACAACTTAAGTAGTGTTTGTTCATCAGCCAGACCCCTTACCTCTCCATCTTGGCAATTGAACTATGCTTATTTCATTGGCATTTGTATTTACAATATCAAGTAACTAATTAAATTTTGTAAACTTAAATAGATATTGTTGGCAGTGATAAGCTTTGATTTGGCAGTTTTTTTAACCACAGCATGTAATGCTAGGCCTCACAAGATAAGAGTCTTATACTGATCATTCATGGCTTTGCTACCTCTAGACCTGACCATCCCAATACATTCCTGCTTCATGTTATCCAAAATTCAGCCAATGTGTTAACTTGGAGTGCTGACCTACATTGGTTTCAGGCAAGCAGCTTCTGGTTTCAAAATTCTAATCCATGTTTTCAAATCCCTCCCTGGCCGTGCCCCGTTCTGTTTCTATAAGTTCCTTCTGATATGGCATTCCTTTTCCTGGCTTCCAGTGCGCATTCTTCTCCACCATGGAGATCATGCCTTCAATTGCTTACTCTTCAAGCTCTAGAATAACTTGTTACGTATTTTTGCCTTTCTACCTTGCTTTCTTTCCTTAAAACTTGCCTCCTTGGACCAACATTTGGCCACTTGGTCTCATATTTTCTTATGTCGCTTTGTGCTGCACTTTATTTCATGCTCCTGTAAAATGCTTTGGATGTTTCATTACATTAAAGATGTTGTATAAATATATATTGTTGGGTACTGAGTAAAGCCTTGGAGCAAACATCAAAAAGCCAATCATCTCTGAATTGTACTATCTCCAACCTAAACTTATGAAGAAAGGTTTATGCTATAGGCAAACATCACCTAAAATTAGTACTTTTTTTTGTTGTTTAACTGTACAAATAGTGACTGCTTGAGAATGAAATTGCTTCAATAGACTTTATTTGATAAATTGCCTTTTCTCATCCTTGATATTGCTGTGACAGACAAGCATGAGACGTTAAGTTGCAGTTCAGCAGACAATTTGCTAGGTTAGTTGAACATTAATGATTATTTTATTGATTAGTATGATAATAAATTATCTTGCGGCATGGTGGTAGTGTCCCTGCCCTGCTAGAAGTTTTGGGTTCGAGTTCTACCTGCTGTGGAATGTGTCATAATATATCTGACCAGGTTGATTAAAAAATAACAAGATAAAGTACAAAACTACTTAACTTGTGTTAAGTGGTGATGCTATTCTTAATATACTCAGGTTTTATTGGGTAATTTATCATCTACTATGCCAATTACTCTTCTAATGAGTATAAAAATGCAAAACTTAATTTAGTAGCACCTCTCATACCAATCTCAGAATACTTTATAGGCTGGAAAAGAAATCAAGATGTTGATTAGAGAGTAAAAAGAGGATGATAAAACAATATTTTGAGTTCCAAAGATACAGAGGAAGAAAAGGGATTTTATGAAACTGTAGAATATCTCATCAGTGCTTCTTCCCAATGTGTAACATATCTTGGCAACAAGATTATACTTGTTAAATGATTTGTTTGAGTGGTGAGTTATTTTGTTGATTGTTTAAATTTCTGTTGTGATAGTTTTTGATAAATGATTTGAGCCCTGAACAATTAGCCTTATTTCTTAAGCATTTCAGCACATTGGTGAATAATGTGACATCTGAGGACAATAGTCTTGTACGTTTTGTTATTTAAATTTTATTGAAATTTTACCCATGACTATAACACCAGAAAAGTTCATAACATAGAAAGAACTCTTTCAAGCTGTTGTGTGTCACTTCTTTGACAGGAAAATATAAAGTTAATCCCAGTGCTCTGGTGATTCTCATAATCCCACATCTGTTTCTCTTATATCTAATCTGGGAGTATTTGGTAGTAAGACTTGGTACCATAAATTATCCATTAATTTATCTTGATGACAAAACTAATGATAGTGGTGAAGAAATATTGGAGACTCAATCTTGGACAATATGATTTTGAGGCAAGAAAGTAGTTAACTATTTTTTCTATTAAAAATTAGAAGATCGCATAAAAATTACCTTCTAACTGCTGTAAATTAATGAAACTTTTGAATGTTTTGATACAGTAAGAAGAGCAAAGCTTCAAGCTGCATAAGTGGAGAACACGGATACAAACGTTTATATAATACAATTTCAGAGGTGGGTAAGACTTATGGTAGGCAAATACTAATTCACTGTAGGTTAAATGTTTTACAACTGAGGTGTACAAGCTTGCATTTGGTGGTTTAGTATGCGGGGAAGATGGAACTTTAGGTGCTACTCATAAATTTGCAGGTATCTGAAATTGTCTTTTTTTTTTGATATTTCAAGGCAGTTCCATGTAACTGATCTCAGTGATACAGAATTCATTTACCCACAAATACTGAAAATGAGAACTACAAATGCATATATCTTTGTTTTTGAAGAATTGATTGCAAGGACTTAATAGTCATTTAGCAATGCACTTCTAGTGCACAAACAGGGTAAATTACTAATCATAGGGTAAAGTATAATGAGATCCCAACTGGTAAAGAGTTGGCTATTAATCTTGGTTGTTGGTGTTATGAAATATATTCTGTTGATTTCTATTCTGTCAATGGTTATGAAAATGTCAAGACTTTTCTTATTGTTTTATTTGATTTCTTTGAGACACTTTGTCATATAGCTGGTTCACCTTGTAATAATTTTTTCGGTTGAGAACCAAAGGAAAACAAATATGCATGTGGATGCAATCTTACTGATGATAATTTGCATTTCTGTCTCTCTCATTTTCCTGTTAATAAACAACTGACGTGGAGTGATTGTAACGAGGTCAGTCAGGTGGAGCACAAAGAATATGAGTTCCCTGACTGGGGCTGTCAATCTGGTCTAATCAGGGAGTCCTGGCTGACAGATATAAACAGGGGTGTCCAACGTTCTGTCCTCTGGCTGACAAAGCTGGATCAATGTCAAGGACTCTTCATGTGTAAATAAAGGGTGACTTGGTGACGGGATACTGGCCTGTCTGGAGTTATTTCAGTGGTGATGAGAAAAAACGCATGCTTCTGAAGAAATTTGTTCGCAATAGCCATCTTTGAGTTGGGGTAAGCATTTCTGGCATCAAGCTGTTATTTGGGAAGCTTGACTCATTCGATCCTGCTGTCAAAGACTGGGCCCAGTATGTAGGAAGAATGTGTTATTTTCTCCTGGCAAAAGATATTGGGATTGACGAAAAGCAACAAGTAATTCTTCTGATAGCTTGTGAACTTGCAGTTTTTTTGGTTATTAGGAGTCTAACTTTCCCTGAGAGACCAGACACAAACCTTTCAAGAGTTGACGGATTTAGTTAAGGAATATTGTGAACCTAAGCCTCCTCTAATTCTGAGACGCTGTTTGTTTTACTCAGCAATTCGAGAATCAGGGGAATCTGTATTGGGACTTTTGACTAGATTAAGATGCCTGGGAGAGGCATGTGACTTTGATTTAACCCTTAATGAGATGCTGAGAGACCGTTTTGTGTGGGATTAATAACGTAACCATGCAAAAGCACCTAATAGCTGAAGCCCAACTGAACTTCAAACAGGCAGTACAACTGGCTTTATCATTGGAAAATATGGTGAGTGGAGCATATGAATTGCAAGGTATTCCAGTGGAAGTGGACACTCTCGCCAGTCCAACTGAGCTTGGGTGAAGGTAATTGCATAGCCTCACTCAGGATACATCCTGAACAGAGGGACTGTAGGTCAGCCAAGAGGAAAACCCATAAACAAAGCCAAGCCTTGGTCAAATGGTTGAAATTTACTTCAAGACCTGGGCTATGTGGACTCAAGACAGCAAAAGAGCCCCATTAGACCTAAAGTGAGTAAGAGAACTCATAGGCTGGTATCCAGGAGAGTGCACACCCTGGAAAGTTCACCCACATCTGGTTTGGCACAGTTAATTCCGCTGGCAAATACACCACTGGTGGTACTGCTACTGGAAGAGTCTATAATGGTTTTAAATTTTTTGGACACTTTTCCAGTTACAACTGACAATATCAGATTTCGGATGCAGGAAGACTTGGACCTAGCAAAAGTGAAACAGCTGGTGCTAATGGGAGAAAGCAATGGGCCATCACATTGAATTGAAACCTTTTTGGACCCGGAGAGACCAGATCATGGTAGAGGACAGCATTTCATTCTGGGGAGCAAGAGTGATTATTCCGAGCAAAGATCACTGCTAGATACTGGATGAACTTTTCCAGGGGTTTCCAAAGTGAAGATGTTGGCGAGAAATTATCTCTGGTGGCCAGAACTGGATGCAGATATAGCCTGTTGGTGGGGCAGTGCCCAGAGTGTCAACAAGGACCAGCTTCCCACATTTGTGGGATTGGCTGGGTAAATCCTGGACTCAGTAACACATCGACTTTCAGGTCCTTTCATGGGCTCAACGTTCTTAGGCATTCTGGATACGCTCAAAATGGCTGGATGTGCACAGAGTTCATTCGTTGAACATGGGGACTATAATTGAAAAACTGCGCTCATTTTTTGAAATACGCTGTCTCCCATAAGGGTTGGTCACAGATAATGGGCCATCGTTTGTCAGTGGGGGAATTTGAGTATTTCCTAAAGTTGATTGGTCTTTGTTATATGAGGACAGCTCCATCCCATCCGTCATCCAATGGTTTGGCAGAAAGAGCAGTCTAAACTTTGGCAGGATTAAAGACTCAGCCTACATCTTCATTATATACCAAACAGTTCCACTTTCCATTTGATTATAGGACCACTCCTCATGCAACCACAGGGATAGTCCCAACAGAGTTGCTAATAGGGAGAAGACTCCACACCAGGTTAAATTGGATCTTCCCGGACCTGGTTGGGGATGATGAAACAGCATCAGGAACGATACTGCTGCATGCAAGACTCTGCTCAGTGAGAGAGACAGTTTACTTCACGGGACGATATTTGGTGTAGGAACCACGGGGATGGCCCTGCATGGGTCAGAGGCATGGGTGACATGAGGTCAGGTCCAGTGACATGTAACGTTCAGGTAGGTGCGATGGTCCTAAACAAGCATGTGGACCATACGTAAGCTGCAAAAACGCAAATGGTGCAGGAGCAAAACAATACTGGCTCCTCGACTGGTTTTCCGACTGTTCTGGAACCCATGTGTTCTTCCTCTTCTTCAAGTGTTGAAGATCCCTTAGAATCTGAGATGGACACGGCGGATGTCGCTGCCTCTATGGTTTTGAAGAAAAGAACGAATGCTGTGCGTGCAAGAGGTGAGCCACTGAGTGTAATATGCCACCGTATCAGAGGCGGAGTTGGAGGAACTTGACCCAGCGCTAAACTGCCCCAGGAGGAGCTACAAAAAAAGAACCAGCCTATGTCCTCCGATTCAGAGGGGAGGGATCTAGTGACTGTAACGAGGTCAGCCAGGTGGCCATCATAGAATACGAGTTCCCTGATTTGGTTCCGGAGAGACCAAATCATAGTAGAGGATGGCATATTATTCTGGGGAGCAGGAGTAATTGTCCCGAGCAAAAATCACTGCTAGATACTGGCTGAACACCTCCAGGGTCATCCCCGATTAATATATTTGGAAGAGTCATGACATCACTTGCCTTTTCAGTTATGCCCTGAAACTTAATAGATATATCTAATTAAATCAAGTTTTTTTAAGTACGTTTGCAATAACTTTGGCGTTGTCAATGATTAAAAACAATGGGCTAAATAACAATGGCTGACAGATAGATATAAACAGAAGTGTTAGAGGTTCTGTTCGTGCTGAGAGCTGGCTCTGAGCGAGCTGGATCAATGTCAAGCACTCTCCATGTGTAAATAAAGAATCACGGGATACCGGCCTTTGTGGAGTTATTTCAAGAAGTATTTAAAGAAATTTGCTATCGTTGCACTCAGATGTAAACAGAAAAATCAAAGCTTTGAGTCATCTGTTAGCTTAGTATTTCTTACAACAAATATCCCTTGGGTGGTGACCCCAATCAAGTACAGCTTATAGTTAATGCAGTGCATTAATTATATTTGAATGTGATAATATGAAGTCTGTAACACACTGTGAGCTGAGCTTGTTTGTATAGTGTCATCTGTGGCACTGTTGGTCATATTGTTACCTGAATTAGCAGGGCTTGAGGCCAAATTTTACACTGACACTCCATTGCGTTGCTGAGGCAGTGCTGTGCCATTCAAGATGCTATCTTTCTTTCAGATGAGACATTAATTCAAAGCCCTCTCAGGTGGATGTAAAAGATTCTTGGCAATGTTTGAAGAAGAACAGAGTTCTCCCTGATGTCATGGCCAATGTTTATCTGTCAACCAACGCTACTTAAAACAGGTTATTTGGTTGTTTATCACATTTGTGTTTGTAAAATCTTTCTACACTCTCTCTGAGCATAGTTTCCAGTTGGGAATTGTAGCATTGTGATTCAGCCCCATGTTTTTGATCACTGACAGTGCCAAAGTTATTGCAAAGGTACCTACGAAAAAAACTTGAGTTAATCAGATATGAACTAAAATTTAACAGACATATCTGATAAGGCAGTGATGTCGTGACTCTTCCAAATCTGCGTGGTTTCTGATGATAGCAGTTAAGTTAAAGTTGATTTGGGGTGTTATGACCTTTTTAACATTGTCCTTTGTTTCACTATACTAAGGGCCTTTTTGTCTTTTTGGACAACTGATCTTTGCTTTGAGTTTGCTATCCTCTTACATGGCCCACATGAATTATTTGTTGTGGATGAGAAGGTGTGACAGTGCAGAGCGGCGCTTTTTCTGACATACGTCGTGACAACTTGGACTACAACTGCTTGTAGCAGATGATTTTATTGTATACTACTCTGCAATATTGTACTCTGTTTATTATTTTGTGAATTTACACCAAGGAACAAAATGTCAGCAATCATACATAGAAGACAAATGTTTGATTCAAACCCACGACCACCTAATTAAAGAAAAATTACTGTTGCAAGCATATCTTTGGGCCTTATGACTGTGTTGCATTTTTCTCCCTTCACTAAGTTATTGGCATTTTTTTTTTGATCCAGTACAGTTCATCATTTCCACTCACATCAGCACTTATGTTCAGTTCTAGATGAGTTTTAAACTTTTTTTCCGCTGCTGAGTCACTGTAAAGATGGAATAAAAGGTAGATTCTCTTGGTAATGTGGCAAAATGAAAGTGCTGTAA